AAAACCCCAAAACCCCAAAACCCCATTTGATAAGATATGAGTTATTGTTAAAGAACCTGTAGATATTGATTAAGGAAATTAAAGTATCATTATGATAATTAAAGCATAATAAAAGTGGATTTTTACAGTAGAAATTTATTTAGCTTTTCCAGAAATCTTCACTCAAGTATGATTGAGTTAGGTATCTTGATGACTTGAAAGACTTGCCTACGATTTGTTTAGCCTACATACTGATCATTATAAATAGGTTCTTAAAACTGCATATAAGTTTCTTCATCTCTTTCCTAGCTGCTATTATCTATTCTGTTGCTAGAATGGGTATCTCTGTATAACTCAATAGTCTATATATTATTTCCATCTACACTGTGTCTTACATTATTCTTAGAGATCTAAGTTAAATCTAGGTGATGCTTCATTCCCTGTGTATTCAGTGGAGTCAACTAAGTATTCGTATTGCCTATATTATCCTTAACTTGAACACTTTCTAACATAAAAGTAATTCTACTATGTTCACGCTGTTAAATTACTATGTTTCTATTGTTAATCATTTCTTCGTATCTCCTGCGGATTTTCTGATTCTTTTTCTGAATAAAGTCCTTAAGTTTGCGAAGTTAAAGGCTTCGTCTAAGTCTCAGGAATTCTTAATCAGTTAAAATTTACTCTTACTAAATAGTGATTTCTTATACTTTGGGTTTTTTCTTGTCATTTTAAGAAAGTTTAATCTTATCCTAAATATTTTTACTCAGTTCTTTGAACTTAATGTTTTGGAATAATTAGGCTTTCTAAAGAGGCTTCTGTACATCTTTAGAAATACTGGCTCTGTTTAGTTCATTTTCAATGTTTTTTAAAGCTTTAGCATTTATTTATGATTATTAATGATTTAGCTCGATTATGAACTTGTTCAGCTGATTCTGATTGTTTTTACTACCATCTTTACTGTTATTAATGTGATCACCTCCACTTGAATTTAAGTCCTTATTGCTGTTCTCTAATCTTCTGCTTAATTCAAGACCTGTTCTTAGTAGCTATGGTTTTTAGAAAAATCTCTAAGGATTTTTGTATTGCTAAGTAGGAACAAATAGTTTGGTTGAAATAGTCTAATTGCTTTTTCCTCTAAGGGATTATCCCTGGTCAAGATTATGTTGAATACTACAAAAGTTAAATAGCTTTGGAAGGTTTTAAAGGCTATTGCCACTAGTTTAGAGCTTTTAAAGTGAAACATAGGATGCATTAAGCTAGTTCGTATTATTTTTATTAATCTGACTTTGATTGTCTAAGTTTATATTCTAGACACTCCTATTAAGTTGATTTAGATTGTTCTGATTAGATTCATCTAAATGATATTCACCTCCATATATTGAAACATTAAGAGTGTTTTGACTGCTTCTATGATCGAAAAACTGGCTTTAATTATCAGATCCTACTTGATTATTACTATGTTCAGAGGTATATCTAAGTGGCTTGGCTTTATAAGAATTTTTTATTAGTCTTAGAACAGGTGTTCTCATATTTGTTTCACCATGTAACTAAGTTGAGAAAGTAGTTTCTATATTTTGAGTATTATTAATATCATTGTAATTTTAAGTATTCATCTCTTCATTATCCTAAATAAGGACTAAGTTATGAGCTCCACCTTGTATATTTAGTATACTCCCTACTTAACCTTAATAATTAATTCCACCTCCTTTGATTGATTATCTCCTAATACGTTTAGATTTAATCTTAGGGGAAATTTCCAATAGGTTTTAAAGATCGTTGTTCAAAGCTCTAGGCTGCTATTAAGAAATCCTTTGGGTGTCTTTAAGATCTTAACTTAGGTCATGATAGTCTAGTGACATTTTCTGATTCCCGAAGTTCATCTTGAAAAATTATGAATCCTAAGGCATGTTTCTTTTCTAATTCAGCTATAGATTAAGCATTAATTTATATTTATAATTTTTTTATTAATTAAAAAAATAGAGCGATATTCTTTAACAAATATATACCGGGGTTTTGGGGTTTTGGGGTTTTGGGG